GAGTGAGCTATGGTTTCATTAGTAAAACTTTTAGTGATCTTGGGCAAAATTAGTTAATTCCGGCCCTGCCGATCATGCTTCCGATGTATTCCGACCCGGAATTTTGGGGATCCCCCTGTATGAGTTCACAATAGATACTTGAATACAAAAAAATGCAAACGTAAGTGATGTCGTAGTTGTGATAAATAACGATAGCAAAAGCAAGAATTTTAGATCCAAAAATTGGTAACCCAATACAGATGTATTTGTCTATTTGCCTGATATTTACCATTTTTCATTTTTTTCATAGGATTTTTTATTGGGTTATTAAATGATAATCAATGGTCATCAAAGGTAATAGCAAAATAATTTTGCGGATAACCTGATAAACTGATAATTTATTATATGATGCCTTGTAAACTTTTGTTTAATCAGCTAATGTGAGTCAATTGCCTATACTGTATATTTAATGGTTCACAATATATTAATGAGATGCTAGACCAGTTCTCATTTGCTTTCATTCCTGGTTTCTAGCGTGACTACATCACGCAGCTACCTTATTTTATAATACCGGGTGATATCTCTCAGGTGATAATTAGTTATTATCTTAAACTCAACAGTTAAAAACCAATATTAAAAAATATTAAATAGAAAAAATTTACTAATCAAAATTATAAATTTTTATTAAAGTTAAAAAAAAAGCAAAAGACATTATTAATGCTAATTTTTACCAATCCAATTAGTTAAAACATTTTCGAATTCATTAGTTTTCAGTGGTTTTGAGAGATAATCATTTATTCCAGACTCAATACATTCATTTTGTATTTCTTCTGCAGTCAATGTAGTTAGAACAATAATCGGTATATTTGAAATTGGTGGTCTCATTGCTCTAATTGTTCGTGAAACATCAAAGCCTGATATTATCGGCTGAATATAATAATTAATAATTATGGGCATTGTATTCATTGTATCATAATGGTATAATTAAAAAATCAAACTTACCAAATTGCATTCAGTTAATATTAATGATATTCTGCAAGATTTTAATTGATCTATATCTGAATTTGATGAACTCAAGTATGAATCATTTATTAATTCAACTTCAGAATTAATCAATTTAATTGCCTCTTGGCCATTTGTCGCAGAAATTGTTGAATAACCAAGTTTTGAAATTTGTTTCAATGTGCTCTAAAAATACAATAAATAAATTAAAAAAAAAGTTATAAATAATATGTGTCTACGTCATTAAACCATAATTACCTCTAAACTAATAGAATCATCATCCTACAAATATTGTTAAACAATTGATTAAAGCTTATTATACTAAATAAAGATGCATCATTTAGCCAAAATAAGTGCATACCACACATAAAATACACTTGCTTTCAAAATCTCTTCCAGTTATATCCTCATACATATTTTGATTCACATCATCAATCTTATAATCACAGTCTGCTATTTGCTTTAGAATACTTGTATTTTTGCTCTCATTAGTCTGCAGATTTGTTTTGTTAGTACCATTGATTTTTTCCAGATACATAATTTGATTAATTAACTTTTTCCTTGTAATTGGGGTATAAATAACAGAAGCAGTTTCTCCAACTTTTCGGATTAATTTTTTTGCCAATTTATTTCCTTCATTACTTGGTAATGCTATAAAAATTATAGCTAATCTATTACTATTTATATCTAATGCTTTTAATTTTAATGTTATTCTCATGACATTTTCTTCATTATCTTTATAAAGACTAATGAATGCTATATCATAAGCAGATTGATTATACAATTCTTTGTATGTTTGGGCAGCTTTAATACCTTCATCAAAAGTATCGAATGCATCAACTTTTTCAACTATTTTAAAATATTTTAGCATTGCATTTCTCATATTTTCGACTGGATGAATTATTAATATTCGTTTTCTTCGAATAAAATTAGGAAATGTATAATTTATTTGCTTATCAAATTGAGCTTCTAATAATGATGATGTTGGAAGTTTTGAAATAGTCGGTGTTATCGATGATAATAGTTCAATGTTCCATGTAAACCAAAATTTACTTCCTTTTCCTAACTGGCTTTTTGCATTAATTTCACCTCCGATAATTTCTACTAGACTTTTACAAATTGTGAGACCAAGTCCTGTACCATCTTGCTTTCTGGTTATCGACATATCACTTCGTGAAAAACTTTCCCAGGCATGTTGAATATATTCAGGGTTCATACTATTGTTGTTAAAAGGATAATTAGATAACATACATGCTAAAACATCAAATATTATAATCAAAAATGGCTACCCAATGCCAGTGTCATATAATTCAATCAAGAGAGTTCCTTTTTTATTCATTTGACCGTAAATTGAGTTCATTTTGTTTTCATTAATATCTTTTTGCGGTAACATTGAAATTATCAGTACGATTTCACCTTTTTCAGTAAATTTAATTCTAAAAAATTGATAATTAATTACTAGTTTATTAAAGTAAAAAATAAAAAAAGTAAACACAATTATGTAAACGTCATTACGAATTTGATATTAAATGGAATAAAACTTGTTTGAGCCTATTTTATATAAAAGTTAGAATAAGTATTTATTTATTTTATAAGCAGCATTAGTTTTAATTACCTCTCAGGATCAGTTCTAACATATCTCGGCAACTTATCCATATCATAATTTACAATCAATTCAATTTTTTTATCTCCTGCTTTTTCTCCAAATGCCTCAACAGTGTTATCAAATAATTCGAATAAATCAAATATTCTATTTACAAGTGTGATTTTTTGTGCTTCTAATTTTGCAGCATCAAGGATATCATTTATTATCGATAATACTGCATCAGAAGCACGTGCCATGATACCAATCATGTCTTTTTGATCGGTAGTTAAGTCAACGCTTTCAAAAGAAGAAATAATTCCTATTATTGCACTTAATGGTGTTCTTAATTCTATTAAAATTAAAATTAATTAATATGATAAAAACTTTCAAAGATATTTACAGAGAAAATCTTAAATACCATGAGAAGTGTTTGCTAAAATTTGACTCTTAGTATTATTGGCAATTTCAGCAGCTTTTATTTGAATCTCCTTTTCAAAATTCTCTTCTAATAAATTTATATGAGTAATAGATAAACTTATTTGATTCGAGATTTGTTGTAAAAACTCTATTTCAGAATCGAGCCAAATGTAATTTGGAGGTCTTTGTACTTTTATCCATCCCCAAAAATCATCAATTAATCTTATTTCTACAGATAACATGGATACATTTTTACAAACATTATCACAATAAACATTTAGCGAAATATCAAATCCTAAATTATTATTTAAAAATCGGTTTAAATTAGTAACTGTTTGCGATCCATTCTCATCGTTATCACTAAGTTCCATAGGTGTATTTTCTGAGCTTTCATATAAAGCAATTATATTATTACTCTCAAATTCAGATTGTTTTCTCGAAATGATAAAAATTCTTTCACATGGTAATCTGTGATAGATTTCTTCAGCAACATATTGTAATGTTTCTTTCATACTTGATCCAGAAAAAATCTTATTTGAGATTGAAATTAGTAGTTGCTTTGTTTTTTCTTGCTCAGATTGTTGAAATATTATTTTACGACGAAGAAGTGATAACTCAAGATTAGAGCGAATACGGGTAATTAGATCCTGAGAAGAGAATGGTTTTACTAAATAGTCATCTGCTCCTTTATCAAGACCTGAATAAAAAATGCATTTGAATACAAAAATTAGATAGTGAAAAATAAATTAACCTGACATATTAGATTACCTTTGATTTTGGAATCTTCATCATTGTCTGCGGACAATAATATTACCGGAATCAATTGAGTTTTTGTATTAGATCTTAATATATCTAATAATTCGTATCCATTCATATTTGGCATTTTGACATCTATTAAATTCAAATCAAATAATTCAATAATTATTATAAATAATATAAATATATATATGATTGAAACAATGCAGTCATAAAATTACTTGCCACTGAGAATTAAATCAGGTAATTTATTAAGTGTTTTTAAAACTTTTATAGCATCTTGGCCATCACAAGCATGAAGTACATCAAATTCTTTTAACAAACCCGAGAGATAAGTTCTACAAATATAGCCATTAATAATAAGAAACAGTTTTAAGTATAACTTAATTGCATAAATAAATTATTACCGTATCTCATTATTGTTATCGACAAGCAAGACTTGATATTTTTTTCCATAAACAGGGTTATTCACGGGTAAAATAAATGAGAACTCTTTCATTAAAGTTTTCTCATTAGAATCAATTGACAATTTTTCTATTATATCATTATTGGCTTTAAATGTACCGTCTTCTGTCCATTGCGAACATTCTTCTAAATAAAGTTGTCTATTAATGCAATCACGATTTATTGGATTTTCAATATCAAAGTTTATGCGGTTTGTTGGTAAATGCTTATATCCTATTGGAAACCAACATTTAAACGTTGTTCCTTTATTTACTATTGAAGTTACAGTAATATCACCACCATGATGTGTTACAAGTTCTTTGACGAGTGCAAGTCCTATTCCGGTACCTTCATAACTGCGTGAACTTTGAGACTCTACACGATAAAAGCGCTGGAATATATTTGGAAGTGCGGTTTCAGGTATACCAACTCCTAAATTAATCCAAGGTTGAGATTAATACATAAAATATATTTATAGATTTATGTGCTTCAAATAATTATTAACCTGTATCAGACACTTCAAAAACTACCATCCTTTTCTCGTCTTTATGATCAATATATAAGCGGATAGTAATACACCCTTTCCAGGTATGTTTTAGTGCATTCGAACCTTTAGCAAACAAAACATATTAATACAATAGGCTTTTCATGTTTTAACGAATAAGATATTTTTAAAATGCTTACAAAGGTTAAATATAATTGTTTCATACATATTATGATCTAAATAAATGTCATTATCTACAGCCTGATTAAATTCGTCTGAATTTGGAATATCAATAACATAATCTAAGCCTAATTTTTTTGCCATGCTTTTAAAGTCTAAAGCCAACTCTTTAGTAAATTCAACTATGTTTGTTTTACGATAATACGCTTCAAATTGATTAGCATCTATATTTGAAAACTGTATAAGAAGTGAATTACTTTTAATAAGAAATAAAGTTTATTTATTAAAAAAATTAATGTGTAAACCTGACTTACTTGTAGCAAAATGTTAATAAGTTTAAGTAATCGACGAGCATTACGTCGTATAGTTTGAAGATACGACATTACAGGTGCTTCTCGTGGACACGCGTTAATTACATCGTCAAGTGGTGAAAGAATTAAAGTTAATGGTGCTGGTATTGTAATAAACATATTTGAGCCTATATGCATTATACATTTAAAAGAGAATTTCATAAATTATAATATTATACTTTTTAACTCGTGACTAATGCCTTGAAAAAACATAACTTTCTGATAATTTAAATCAGCCAACATTTTGGATCGTTTCCTTTCTTCCTCTATTAATTTCCCATGTTGCAAAAATATATTCATTTGATTTACGAATAACTAGTAAATTAAATATTTTTAATAATTATTATGAAAATTAAATTAAGGTTAATAATTAAGTTTTACATACATGTAAAAATTCCATATATTGCTTATCAGGTGGCCTTAATCGATTGACACCACAAATCAGTATAGCTGATAAGTTTTGTTCACCGGCAAGTGGGATTTTTGTTAATAAAAGTATAGCCTGAGATTCGTCCTTTAAAAGAAATTTTATATGTTCATTTTTCTTTGTTAGAAGGTGCATTGGCCATGAATCACATTTTATGAATGAATAAGTAGCGCCTCGTTTTAATTCTACATATTCATAACTCTCATCAGAGTCTTTGGATAAGTCAATCACTTCATGAGTTTCAGGAAAATAATCGGGAAACTTTCTTTCATTTTCATCAAAAGTTGTGGCAGTCAGACGAGCAGTTAATTTATGATCGACAAGATAAATTAATGCATAAGAAATATCAGCATTGTTTTTGTTTAGTATTTTTGTCATAATACTGCAGGCACTCTCTAAAGATTTTATTTCTTCAATAAACATTATATAAACATTAAATTAATGAAAGCACATTAATAAATAAAATTTAATAATCTTATG